AATATGAATTATAAGCTTAAAATATATAAAAATTGATTAAAAAATAATTAAAAAATAGAATTAATAATTCTTTTAAATATAGATAACTATAATAAAGATTCTTACCAAGGATTGTAAGGCCTCTAGCAACTTCATTTACATTGTTTTTTAATAAAGCAAGGCCATTGGCTTTAAATTTTTTTCTAATAAAGTACATTATAATAATCATTTGTCATAGATTATTTATTTCACTCTTTACCAAGTCTTTATTAATACTTATCTCTAATAGTTTTACATTGAGAAGTAAGTCAACATAATTTTTAGGAACTTTTATCAAAAGAAACTTACTTGAAATATGCCAAGTTAAATAAGAGTTTCCAACTTAATTGTAAAAGTTATATGAATCAATCATCTACTTTTTCTTGTCAAGGTCTATCAAAAGTTTATTGTAAATATCTTCTACTACTATTCATGGCCATTAGTTGGTGGTTGCTATTTTTTCCTTTTGACAAAGTTTTCATATAAAGCCATGACTTACAAGGCAAATTGGCTAGACTCAACAAAATCTATCACATGAAAGAAAATAAATAAATAAATAAATAAAAATAACATTCCTATTAAGCCAAAATTATGTACATAATTCAAATTTCTTTTTTTATAACTAATACATGGCACAGCTACAATGGATGTATTAAATTATCAACTTTAAAACCTTAGTTGTGCAAAATCTAACAACAAATTGGCACTACTTGCAACCAACTTCTTAATTTCATCTATGAATGATTTCTTTAAAGATTTATTTTGAGGATTTTTTGTTAGTAATTATTTAAAAGTATAATAAATTAAAAAACCATAAAATAAAATAAAATAAAATAAGTAAACTAAAAAAATATGTAAATAATATGAAAAAAAAAAAATCAAAGACAAGAAGACCTTTGTAAACTTAGATGATGCCCACAAGAAAAGTGATTCTGGTGCAAAAATGCATACATCATTTATAAACCAACTTTCATAATGAAAAGGATTCTAACATAAAAGACAACTATGACAATCTTTTTGATGATGATATATTACATCTATGATTTAGTACAAGTACATTTGAAGTTTTTGTTAGCAATGAAGTACATCATTTAATTAAATACAATGACTTCATTAAGGACATATAAATAAACTAACTCAAACTTAAGTTGTATCAACCACTTCTTAAGAAGTTCTTTTGTTAGTCATTATGCTACTATACCATTTTATAAAATAACAAATAATAAAAAATACAACTTTGTCATTGGAGATAATAGAGAATTATAAGATTATTATTATATTTACTATTATTTACTTCTAAATTATTTTATTAGCTTAGGTAGTTGATCAATAGGTTGTTCTAATACATAGCATTGACTTTTTTGTCTTATATTAAGTGATTCAAGAAAAAAAAAATCCGCTAGTAAAAGACATAAATAATGTTTTAAGAAATCAATGAAATTAAGTTTGATAAGTCAAAATAGAAAAAATTAAATTTTATTTATTTTTTTAGTAAAGATTTGTAATTTCTTTTTAAAAAAATATATATTATTTTAAGTGCAATATTCCTTTTAATAAAAAAATTATAAGACTTAAAAAAAATATATCTTATGGATAGCCTATCAAAAAGAACTTGCCATTGGTATGAGATGTAGTAGGCACAATACATCTAATATTGCCTTTTAATAAACAAAGGTGAAAAATAAGAAAAAATTAGAATCTATGCTTTATAAAACAACTTATTTTAGCTAGTATTTATAATAATTGTAATATAGATTCAATTGCTATAACTTCAATCAAAAGTTATGTTGGTCTATGAAATGTTGAATAAATGCATCATCATCTATTGTTTTTAATCAAGTTTGATGAGATTGAATGAAATCTAGAGAATTAATAATTAATGTGTTGACAATGCATATAAATAGATATAATGGGATTGAAGATGCATCTTAAGAATTGCTCTCATGACTAAATAATATCATTAAAATTATATTTAAATTAAAAATATATAAAATTATAATATTATATAAGATAATTATTTTTTCTTCTTTACTAAAAAAAGGTTTCATATTTATTAGTTATTATATTGATATTATATGTGAAGGTAAATTTTATTCTTCAATCCAAATTACAAGATGGCTTCAATTAAGAGTTGGTTGTAATTAGTAATATGAAGTGAAGGAAGAAAATAGGAATAAAAAAAGAAGACCAAATATAAAACAAATGAAATAAACAAAATCAAACAATTATACAATCTAAAAATTGGTCACAATTGTTTTACTAAATTTTCATCTAGTAAAAAATAAAAAGTTAAAATTAAAAATCTATCTTTAAATAGGTAATTTTTTTATCTTTCTAATGGTATAAGAAACATGTAAATCCGAATTATTATGAATAAATTATGAAGATTTTTAAATAACAAGTAAATAAATAAAAAGTCAAATAAAAATACTTTATTTCAAAGATAACTTGCTTATAGATCAAGGGTTCGAGCCTCACCAAGGCTTACATGAAGTGTATATAGATGTCTATGAGAGACCACGAGGCCTTAATCTTATCGTCCTAATTAACTTCAAGGTGCTATAACCCATATGGGATTTGTGCACCTCCTTTCTTACAAGGACTATACTAGCTACTAGGCCTCCTATTTACTACTAATAGATCGAACATTTTTGTATTTTTTATTTCACCATGGTATTCAAAAACATCAAATTAGCCTAGGAATCTTTTGTAGCCTTCAAATCTTGTTCCATTTCTTCATAATGGCTCCCAAAGTAATAAAATTTATTTTTATTAAAGTCTTAAAAATTGTTCTAAAACTTTTAAATAAAATCTAAGTAAATTCTAAATAAATTCTAAAAAATCTTATAATTATTTTATAATTCTAATATTAATTTAAGGCTATAATTTTTTATCTTAATCATTTTTTATAATAATAAAATTAATTTAAATCCACTAGATGTCCCACTTTCTATATAAATAACTAAAAAGACATGAGGTTCTTTTTATACTTCTTTTAACTATTAACTAATATTTATAGTATTTTATAAGTCATACATATGAATAGAAGGCCAATGTAAAAATTGATCTTAATAAATAACCCTTAATACTCAATAATAAGTACAAATACTGAATCAACTAAGATAATTGCCTCTAAGACTTACTAAGACTCTATTTCTATGGTTAACATTCTAATTTCCTATGTATCCAAATATTTTTATACTATTCACCATATATTGGAATTTTAAGCACTCTAAATACATCTTTTTGTCCTAAAAAAATTAGGGAATTGATTTGATGACTCATATCATAATGCATAAAAGATAAACCACTTAAATTGTCAAAGAATTGTTCAAATGAAACAAAGTCCTTTATAATGTATACATCACAAGAGAAAAGGTTCAATTTAAGGTTTTGATCTACATCAATATGAATTTGTAGATTATCCATCAACTTCAAAAAGCCAAATAGCTCTAAATACAAATTTTGACAAGACAAGATACGCTCAAGATCCATTGATCATAATTCTTATTTAATAGCACAATAAAATTCAAAAAACACTTATACAACCATCAGATAGAGTTTTCTAGGATTGCAAATCTTAAAATAAAATAAATGAAATAAAAAAAAAAAAATCCATCAATATAATATTTTTAAAAATTTAAGCAAAAATATCTCAAATTAAAATAAATAAAAATATATATTAAAACGACTTCATAATTAATAATTTTGTATTACTTTTATGTTTATTTATTCTAAATAATATTTTAATATAAGATATAAGAATTTACCACACAAATAATAAAAATAAGTTAAACTAATTTTTTTTAATTATTTAATTAGAAATTTTAAAAATACTTCTTCACTTCTTTATATAATGTTCTTCTTGAATTAATTTCATTGATGATTATCTTCATTTTATTTATAAGTTGAAATTGTTAAAATTTAGGAATTTGGATTTCTTTACATTCAAAATTAGGATTTATGAGTATTTTTTAGAATTAAGATTAATTAAACTTGAGATCATTAAAATTCTTATAATTAGAATTTATTAAAATTTGTTTAGATTTTAAAATTTAGAATTAAGGCTTGTTATACAAAAGATTTATTATAATTTTGTAGAGTTTGGTTTAGGATTAAGAATTATTATATTTAGAATTTTTAGAATTTGTAAAAATTCAAGTTAGAGTTTATTAAAAGTTAAAATTTTGATTTATAGCCTATTAAAGACCAAGATTTAGACTATAACAATTAAACTAATAAAACTTAAGTTAAAAGAAATTGAATAAATAATAAATTAAAGAATAAATTAAAATTCTATTAATGATTAGTATACTAAACATCAAATGCATACAATATTAGAATATACATGCACTAAAAAAGTTGTATTGAATGCACATTAGAAATAATAATGGTTTACTATCCAAAAAGACATACTAAATATGATTGTCATATAATAACCTCTTAAGGCATAAAGTTAATTTGTAATTAGGTAAGTATCTGTAAGAAGAATTAATAAAAAAAATTATAATTTTATTGAAAGTTATCCATCTCTTCACAAATACTTAATCTTTGTGAAAAATTTAATAAGATCGAATTTTACCTTACATACTTGATGATTATCTATAAAGTATCCAATTGGGTCTTAAACAATATTATGTTTTATATATTATATATGATCAATCAATTTAGTTGTACAAATTCAATCTAAATTGGACATGTATTAATATTTCATTGTTATTTGAAACATATTGTGGAATCTGGAGATTATTGGATGGATGTAAACATATGACTCCATAATTAAGACATACCAAGACAAATGAGGAGTCTGTACACAAGTTTGCAATGTGAAATCTAGAAGCTATTTTAGTAGTGCCACTTGAAGACATTAAGAACTCACAAAGCCAAATGCTAAGCACTTGAAAGACTCAAATCCAACAACAACGTGACAAAATCAGGCTTGACTCAATGAATCTCAACAAAGATTGCGAGACACTAACAACTACAATAACAAGTGAATTTATTCAAAAGTCCTCAAATAACTGGAGGCAGTGTTCCTAAACCACAAATATTCCTTGACACCTGTTCTCATTTTTTACAAGACCCTTTGGGTGCCTTGAACTCCATACTGTTGTTTCACACAAGATTCGCCAAGGTACACCTAGTCCTAAAATTCTTCCTAATGACATGGGCCGCAGTAGCCAGACGTTTGCACCAAGCAGCGGACTGGGGTCAAACTGATTTACAAATGCATCCATGTGACATGCGAGTCCCTCCTAAGGCATTTTGCATGCCAGCATGTCTGCATTGCCTCTTTGTGAGTATGGGAGGAATGAGCTCCCTTAAAGGTCTTATACTAGAGATTGTTACAAGAGCATGAGTACATAGTCATAAGTTGCTGCAAGTTAAGAACCCACCTGAGGTTTAGTCGTCGATGATAAACCTCAACTTCTATAACTTCTCAGTAGGATTTGTCAACAAACAAATTTGCTGCAGTGACAACCTTCGAAATGGCAGAATGTTCAAAGTGACAGAATACAATAGCTGTGAAAGCTTGGCTCAATTGACCAGCTTCTCTCATGCACTATTGCTGTCATCTTTGCTATAAGTTGGAATATATTCATTCTTTGATGGGGAATATCCTGGAGCTGATGGAGAATAGCCTCCGCTGGGACTGCACAAAATAAAAGTAGGCAATTTTTTGTAAGTTTCACAATAAACGCGGAATATTAAGCAAGCCATATTAGCATTTCCACGTAAAGGTCTAATCTCTCAAAATAAAAAATAAAAATAAATAAAAACATTAAAGCTACACAACAATTTCGCCAATTAAAGTTTCGAATTCATCCTGACCATTTGAGCAGCAACTATACAATACTACTCATTGAAAAAGCTATGATCCACTACCAAGTTTCAAACTACAGCGACAGCACAAAATTTGCACACCTGTAATTTGGAGAAGTAGGACTGTATGAAGGACTTCCAGGAGTATAAGCAGGACTGCAAACATGAAAGAGAGCTCAGTACAAACACTTTCATTGCCGATTCTAAAATAATAATACAATGTCACACCTTGCAACATAAAATCAAATGACTACATCAAAGAAAGTGACGCACCTTGTTGGAGAATATGAAGGTGACCCTGGGGTATACGCAGGACTCGTAGGCATGTACGAGGGTGACGATGGAGAATACGATGGTGACGTAGGACTGCATCCAAAATTTCAGTCTTAAGAACGGTCTCAAAATTACGTCTAATCAAATTTACTGACTAAATACCATTTTAATAAAGACATATCAATCCATTTCTAAAATTATCTAGATATGGAATTACAACCATGAGGAAATAAACCAGAAACAAAGCAAACTGAAAACCATCATGAAGATTGAACCATAATAATGAGGAGATAAGAAAAACTAAAAGTACCTGTAACTGGGGGAAGTTGGGCTATATGAGGGACTGGAAGGAGAATAACGAGGACTGGTAGGAGAGTAAGCAGGGGATGTGGGGCTGTAACTAGGCGAGGTAGGACTGTAGCTCGGAGACGATGGGCTGTAACTTGGAGATGTAGGTGAGTAACCAGGAGATGTGGGACTATAACTTGGAGAAGTTGGACTGTACGCAGGAGATGTGGGAGCATAGGAAGGTGAAGTAGGACTGTATGCTGGAGATGTCGGGCTATAGCTAGGAGAGGTTGGGCTGTAACTTGGTGACGTCGGACTGTAACTTGGTGATGTCGGACTGTAACTTGGTGATGTCGGACTGTAACTTGGTGAGGTTGGGCTGTAGCTAGGCGAGGTGGGGGCATAACTTGGAGAAGTTGGAGAATAAGATGGTGATGTTGGGCTATATCCAGGAGAAGTAGGGCTGTAAGAAGGTGATGTGGGACTGTAACCAGGAGAGGTAGGACTATAACCTGGGGAAGTAGGACTGTAACCAGGTGATGTAGGACTATACCCAGGTGATGTGGGGCTGTAACCTGGTGACAAGGGACTGTATCCAGGAGAGGAAGGGCTGTATCCTGGAGATGACGGGGAGAAGGGCATGTTCCCGACGTACGGCGAAAACTGCGCATCTGATAGTGGAGAAGCACGCAGACTTGGACTAAGCAGATAACTGGGTGACATCATGCCATCATTGTGTGGCGTTCCGATCATAGGGGTTCGTGATGGAGTCATGCCATAGTCAGTTGCTTCGAAACTAGGCAACTGCAACTCAATGGCGTGTTGAAGCATGTCCTCATTCAGGTGTAGACCAAAGTCACCAGTCCCTATAGGCGCCAGTTGACCAAGCATTATATTTTCAGTGACTCCTTTCAGATGATCAGCCTCCGCATACACCGCAGCGTCTAATAAGATATCCACGGTTTCTTCAAAGGAACACCGCATCATGGGCCCTGTATCGTTCCTGTTGATACCATGACGCGTGATTGCCATCAAGTGACCACGGTACGTCATGACATCACAGAGGATCGCAAGATGCCTGTAGTTCACGTATGAGCCATCGAAAGAGATGACATCACGCAACTCCTTCAGAAGAGAATTTCGAACTGCTTCAATGCCCAGCACCTCAATAACTTCAATCAAGTGGTTACTGGTAGTTCGAGAAGCATCTACATCTTCGTGACACATCACCGCAAGCATGTTAACACCCTCCGTGTCAAGTACCCATTCCTGCTCCACCACAAAGGCCAAGTTCTCATCAAACCGATTCTTCTTGTCTTCCTTGATAAATACCTTCCGGATATCAGGTATTCCTCGCAGTGCCATCTCTGTGAGCATGTTGCTTTCAATCTTTTTCAGGAAGACATCATCCTCTGATTGTTCAGTCATTTCTCCTTTGGGAGCCTCATCATTCATGATTCGAATGCGAAGAATGAGTTTCTCAGCATTATCATCATTAAAAATACAGGTCAAATCATCATCAAATTCAAGGTTGATTTTCTCTGCAATATCGGCCATGCTAAGCTTCTTGTCAACCATCATCTCGCGATTGAGCTCGATACGTAGCAGCCACGGTGAAATCTTTTCAGGAGCCACATCTTCATCCGGCATTTCGTAGTACGATTTCACAAACTCCATGTCCTCCTCGATCAATGTGCTCATTGGCTCTGGATCGTACCAAATCTCGGTTGCCTGGGTAACAGAACGAAGAGTAGTATACTCCAGGGCACACTGAACATTCTTGGCCCTTTCTTTTTCTTTGTTCACCCCAGGTTTCAGATACACTGTTAAGGACGGGGTCTTAATCTTCTTTGCGACATTGATAATCTCACGCAAACGTGGGACACCCAGAGTCACATTCTTCGCACTCACACCAGCAAAATGGAACGTGTTTAGTGTCATCTGTGTAGCTGGCTCGCCAATCGACTGAGCAGCAACACAACCGATCATTTCTCCGGGAGCCACAAGAGACATGAGGAAGCGAGTCTCAACCTCGCCTATAACCCACTCGAACGCCTCTCTTGTCAGACGGTAATCCTTGAGAACCCTCTTGCTAGCTAAAGTGCTGCGCAGAAGACAGCCAAAAAACAGAGTTGCATTTCTTTGCGCTTCCATTGATATTTGGTCATTCCCTGGTACAACTCTTAGTCTTTCTTGAAGATTTTCCACTGCCTCCACAATCTCCATAGGATGCATATCTGAAGACTTACGAAGATCCACTTTGAAGATTTTCTGCGCATTCCAAATTAGTCGCTTCAGATTGACAGGAAGAGGCCAATTTGACTCCCCGGTTGGAGCAATCTCCAACCCCATTTGCCTGCGATCAGCTTCAAGCTTGGATACTTCTGCGTCAAAGACATTTCTGATTTCTTGGATAGTCTTTATATCCTCAGCAGCTTCAGCAGACATGTAATCAGGTGCCCAATCGTCTCTATCAATCTCAAACCTGTACACCCTATTGAACTCTGCCTTCTTCATTTTTAATGAATCCAATTTCTGGGACTCAATCCATACTGAGTCCATTCCATCCTCTCCATAGAGAAATTGAATCACATCTCCAAGAGAATTACGGACTGTCCCATCATACTTCACCATGACATCCTCCATAGCTTTCACCAGTCGCCTTTGGATGTAACCGGTCTCCGAAGTTTTTACAGCTGTATCAATGAGACCTTCTCTTCCTCCCATAGCATGGAAAAAGAATTCCTGTGGAGTCAGGCCTCGCAAATATGAATTTTCTACAAATCCACGACTCTCAGGCCCATAGTCGTCCTTTGTAAAATGTGGTAGCGTACGGTCCACAAAACCGTACGGAATACGCTTCCCCTCAACATTTTGCTGCCCCACACAGGCAGTCATTTGGGAAATATTGATAAATGTACCCTTCGACCCAGCTGTAACCATGGCCTTGAGATTGTTGCTCTCAGCAAGACTCTTTTGTGCACTAGCTCCAGCGTCATCACGGGCCTTATTCAATATTCCGTTGACCCTGTTCTCAAAAGATTCTTTCATAGTCCGACCTGGCTGCGCTTCAAGCTGCTTGTCTTGAGCCTTCTTGATAAGATCCTTGACGTCATGTTTTGCTTTGGTGATGGTTTCATTAATTTTCTCCATAGTTGCTGCATCAGCAATTGTGTCCCCAATACCAATACTGAAACCTTGCTGCAATAGCCAGTAATTTACTAGCCACTGAGTATGCCCCAGAAATTTCCGAGCTGCATCAGGCCCAACCTCCTCCCTGCACAAATAGTATGTAGATATTAAAACTACTCATGCTCTTTTCGGACCGAATGAATTGTTTCAACGTCCTGATTCATCAGGACAGAAAAGAACCAGGCACGAAGGAAGTTGCTGATTAAGCAGACCACAAAGGTCATCGACAGCAAGATCTGAACTGTAGATAAAAAAAAAAAAAAAAAAGTCATCATGTGTGTTACGGTGAACACATACCAAATGACATGAATAAGACTGCCTTGACCCGTACCCAAAGTCTTCTTACAGAGCGTGCCAGCCACCACCTCACCCTTTTCAATACGCACCTGTGTGTCACCGGGTGAAAGATCACCATATTCCCCATCAGGATGCCAAAATGCCTGACGCATCAGGTTGATTTGTTTTGGAATAATCAAGCTAAAAATTTGTTTCCCTGTCCAGAGAGGGCGCGGCTTTAAAATGGTCGGAATGGGTATTTTCCCATCAAATTCCTCCCACCACATAAGTATGTTATAGAACACATCCTGCATGAAGAAGCATTTGCTTAATTTTCAGACTCGTACGACTTCAAATGAAAATAGATCAAATCTCAAAATAGAACTTCCAAACAAACATACCGTTTTTATGCTTATACAAAAACATACGAACAGAAGTAAACGAAATCATACGCATTTCTTTTCAACCAGAAAATAACTACAATCACGACAAGTAACATACCTTCTCTATAAAAGTGTCCCTCTTCGTCACTTTTCGACATCCCAAAAGTGTGTCTTGCACAATGCCAATGACTGGACGATTTGACTGAGGAGATACAATACACTTTGGAACCATCATAAGTTCCAGAACCTCCGCTCGAGTCTCAAAGGACTGAGGCACATGCATATTCATTTCATCTCCATCAAAATCAGCATTGTATGGCGATGTTACAGACAAGTTTAACCGGAAAGTGGAATATGGCATTATGCGAATCCGGTGTCCCATAATGGACATCTTGTGCAGACTGGGTTGTCGGTTGAACAACACAAAATCGCCATCATTCATATGCCTTTCCACCTGTGGCATACGAAACGCTTTCAGAACATTAGTGAAACAATGATTATACGGTCGTACACTTTCACGACACCTTCAAGAACTAGTCTAAGGAAGTTTAACATATTTTTCACACCCAATTCGAAAAGTTTTCATATAATTTCATATGGAACAAAAACATGGTAATACGAGACACGTAAGCAGCCATGTAATATTTCAGAGAGAGATACATACCTTATACCCAAGCTCCAAGTGTCGATCGCTGCTTTTCTTCAAGAACCGCAGATCCAGTCGTTGACCATCTTCTCTAATGATGTATTTCGCACCAGTCTTGCCAGGGGGTGGATGAGGCCCGTACTCTACAAGCTCCTTCAGCCTATTCAATATCAATCACGAAACCTTTGTCACAAGACGACAACAAGTAAGGGTTTTAGAGTAACAATCCAATTAATACGAGAGCATAAATCAGTAAATGAAACTAACCTCTCCATGTTGTAGGGAGTCACAGTTTCCGGATAAGTTAAATTGAGGGCAATACTCCAAGGCACTCCTAATTCATCAATATTAATATTCGGATCTGGCGTGATCACAGTACGTGCAGAAAAATCCACACGTTTTCCCATCAAATTTCCTCGGATTCGACCCTCTTTGGCCTTCAAGCGTTGGCAAATTGATTTGATAGGTCGCCCAGACCTTTGAGTAGCCTGCCACAAAGTAAATATCATGCTATCAAATAAACTCACACAGCCACATCTAGCAAAAGCCCACACAACAAACTTCCTTACTTGGTCCTTGACTAAGCAAGAAAGGCAAACCCTCACGCGACAGTCGATTGAAAACGAGACTAAGCACGAGCAAGACTAGCAACAGTTCGAAAAAGACTACAGACAGAATCATGCAGAGAACTGTACCCTTGGCTGTCCTGGAAGGTCATTGTCGAAGTATGTTGCTATGTGAAATTGCAGAAGCTGCGCAAACTCGTTGATGATATGAGTAGGGGCACCATTTTGCTCCTGCCTCTTTAAATTGTTGTTGTGGCGAATGATCATTGCCAACTGATGCGTTAAGTCGTCCTCACTGCGAGCCGAACTGTCCATCATGACAGAGGGACGGACTGGAGGAGGTGGAATGGGGAGTACCTGTAAAATCATCCAATCCGGTCGGGCATACTTTGGATTAAGACCCAATAAAGTACATTCTTCGTCGCTTATCCTCTTAAGAATACTTAAAACCTTTTCTGCACTAAGCTGCTGTTTGCGCTCCACAGGCTCGGGCATATGCTGCTCCGGTTCTTCACCCTTTTTCCGGCTAGGCTTAAATTCAGCCACAATTTTCATGCCATCTATAGATATCTTGGGCTGCTGTGCACCACAACCTCCATGGGATTTCTTCTTCTCGTTTTCCTCTCCATTCATAACATCATTCTCATCAATGTCATCGCCTGTGTCACACTTTGTTTTGCTTTTACAACAATCCAACACTTTCTTCAACCTGTGCTTCGGATTACGCACTTTCTTTGCTTGCTTGAAACGATGATCTTCCTGCAACATCCGAAGGTACGGTTATACACACCAGTGAGACACCTAGCTTTAAACACACCCTGGATTAGCCAGTCTGTCAGCCAGCACTAGCATGATGTAAGCCTTCAAAGTGGTTCCTAATCCATGAGCATTCACATCAAACACATCAATATCAACAGCTAAACCGCGAAGAAAAAGATGCTTAGAACACTGACCTCGTCCGCAAGACATCGGGAACAGTTGTAGCAAACACAGCGCAAGATGGAAAGGACGGTTTTTAAAAAACCAATGTGAAACATAGGTTTCGCGAGCTCCAGATACCCAAAATGACCAGGACATTCCGTCATGCTCCCGGCACACGTTTCACACTTGGTATGCCGATCGATCGTACCCAGCCGCGGATCACTAAGACCCCCAATCTTGGGCTTGCCCCTGTCATATGTCTCACTGCTCTCTATTTTGCATACTGCCATTTGACGCTGTTGCAAATAACAAAAAGAGGGTGGTGAGGACAATGAAACACTTCAATTCTAAGTCTTTTCAGCTTGTATGCATAAACCTAAGCTCATTCCAGTGTCGCTAATAACAATACCGTACAACCTTAACCATACCGTCGGCTTCCTTCGCTGCGATGGAATATAGGATGAAGATAGAAAACCAAACCCTAGCATACTGGCTGCATTATCTAGCAGCTCATGTATTGACTAGGAATAATGTCTTCACGCGTCTAAATTTCAGAAGCAGGACTTAATTTTTTGAGCGTATCCTTCGCTTGAAATTTTCTATGTTATTCAACAAGAACAACATCGACTCGAGATCTTCCGAGAATAACAAGGCATGCACGCCATTCACACACCAAGCACAACACGCAATAAAATTCGAGCCGCCGTTCACAAACTATGTCGAGCAACACCCGACGCTTGACTACTGGCAATCCATATTCACAACAGCAGCTCACTACTTCGCTACGGGGTTTCTACAATCCAAAGCCTCAGAACTCACGATTTCATCGGGGCTGAGGATGCCGAACTGCACGGTTTTAACCCGGGCCAAGTCGGCAGGAGAAAACGCAAAGCGTTGGTCCATGACAGCAGACCCTCTTGGCTCTCAGATGTTGCGCTCCTGCTAATACTTAGTCTTGGGCACAAGCCTGCTCTCGTATGCACAACGAGACACAAGCTCCCCGCGCCCACCCTACCTCATCACTCTCAGATTTGTTTTCCAAGAATATATTGTGGTGGCGCAGGAGCACCGCCAGGACTCAGAAATACATGACTACGACGCTGCAGTTAAGGTTCTCAGGGCAGGAGCCAATCAGTATGGCGGTGAGTCTGCGAGACAATAGTCTAACTTAGAAATCAAGGGAGAGATTCGGGAGAGGGGGAGAGCCGGAGGAAGAAGGAGCAATAACCCCTCCCGCTAGGCTGAAGGGAGCATATATAGTAGGAGCAACATGGAAGGAGGACTTGGGAGCCACGGCACGGCATGCCGCTTGCATCAAGACCGAAGTCCTTCAACTTACAACTGCGGGAGTTGAGAACCTACCGGACGGTTGCGGTGTTCAAGAACAGGGTATATGCGGTTCTGATAACGGCATGCGATCATCCGGGTATTGGATGCCAGAAGTCAGTCAACTGTATATGTTTTAGTAAGTTCGGCGACTCTTCCCAACTGCCTCCATTGTGGAGTTGGGCAGCCAAATTGTTTGAATTGATGACTGCCCGCGACTTTACTGTGGAGATATAAAAGCTTTTAGTTGCCCGCCGTTGAAGATGAAGGGCTGACCTGTCGGTATTCAAAAACCTGTGGGCAACAAGCTGCACACAGACAAATTTTAAACGATTTGTTGAGATGGATATACTTGCAGTTCCAAAGGAAAACAATAAATCATGCATGTCAATTTTTTTAAATATAAAACTAGTATAATTTTTTATTTCATTCAAAATTCATAAATATTAATGAGAGGTGTCATCAATTTAACTGTGTAATTAAACGAACCAACCTTAAATGTATTGTAGCCTTTATAAAAATTGTAAAATATATTTATTAAAATATTAAAAGAACTTCAAATATTACATATTTCATCCTAAAATTGTAAATACATTTCATGCTAAAAATTTCAATGTATCTTTTAATCTTCCCCCCTCTCTCCAAAAAATAGCCACCTCCAAAGAATTTACTCAATAACTTCTAATCATCAAATATTTTTACAAAACACTTTCCATGTTTTTTTTCGAAGAGGTCCTTTGCTGGTGCCCAACAAACCGATGGATATTTTCTGTTGGCACTTCATAATTTTACACAAATAGATGGACTAAGTGACAATCTTTATATTAAAATCTGAAATGATTTTTCTATACTACATGTATAAACAATCTTTGACAACATTTAATTCATATACCCAACTTGTATAAAGCACATATTAGACAAGAGACATATAACACAGCACAATAAAAATATTCCAATGGTAAAAGATTAATAATAATAATTACTAGTAACAATTAAGACGTACATTATGTAGTTCATAATATGTGATATCAATGTATTAGAAATGAGTGTTAAAGTTTGTTTCGGTTGTAAATTATAGTATTTTATTCATAATGAGAGAAGATATTCAGATGCTGTAAAAGTAACTAGAATTACAAAGAAATTTAGAGGAAGAATGCATTTTATTAAAAATACATCAAAGAAGTTTCTTCATTGTGGATTGAACATAGTGTGCTACATGTATTTCTTGGAATTTCTCCACATCATTTCTTACTTTTAAAAGTCATAAAAAAAGAATTTTAAGAATTATTTTCTGCACTTTTATTTATTTTAATACACACACATACACATATATATATAATCTTTTATTTACTTTATCTACAAACATGTCTTTTTATTTGATATTATTGGCAATCTAAATCAGATCTAAATTTTGCATTATTGTATACAGAATCAAATCGAACAAATCATATTATATACACTATGTAAAATGAAAAAAAGAAAAAGAAAAAGAAAACAAGAAAAAACAAAAAAATAAATAAAAAAATAAAAAAATCCTTAATGGATTTGCTACAACAAGGTATAAAGATGAAGTACGAAAAAAAAAAAAGAAAAAAAAAAAAAAAAAGATTATAATCTTGTAAAAACAACAATGTAAAATAAAAAAAAGATATCACATTCATAAACATTGTTTAATTAACTTACTTTGCATATCTTAGAAACTAATTCAAGGTTTGAACACAGCAAAAATGAGATCAAATTTAAAAATGCTTAATTTATATTTAATATATATATATATATATATATATATATATATATATAATCAACGTAATTTTTAAAATTTTAAACACTATTATATTCCTTAAACTAATGTTTTTTACATCAAATTAGTTCTCCTTGATTTCCAATTGCAAAAAAAAAAAAAAAAAATCTCTAATATTTGTATTACATTTAATAAAAAATATTTTTAATCATATATACAGATATATATATATATATATATATATATATACGCAAATAAATATATACACAGATATACATAAGATTCAAATCACAAAAAAACCAATAAAAGAGATATTTTTTATGCAATATTATTTCAATTTAGTTTGAATTTTAATTATAATTGAATATATATATATATATATATATATATACACACACTCACACACAAACAGATCAAATTATAATACATAATATAGATTTAAACTAAAAAAAACTATAAACAAATTTTAAAAAAAAATTAAAAATATTATATGTTTACCATTTTTAAAGTGTCATTTTTTATTGTAATTACTTTATGTAATGTGATAACTTATGATGGTAAAAAAAAAAATTGATTTGCATAAAATTGATGTAACAAATTATAACAACTTACATAAAGCATGCATGTTAATAGTCCAAGCTATCTATGCAGATTTATAAATAAAATTAATCAAATAAAACATTTCAAATTTCCTATTTTATTTTTATCAAATTATGTCAAAGAATTTTGAGAAAACATCATTACACTATTTTGATAAAAAAAAGTATTATGCCTGTTTTTTTATTATTATTTTACCATTTATTTATCAAAACAGGAATTGACTTATATAATCTCATACCTTGATCATTGATATTTTTTGTATGGTTTTTGTAGTACTTAAGAAGAAAATATGCAAATATCTTCTTAGAAAATTTTATATCTAAATCCCAATCATTCGATTGTATATACTTTTAAAATCCTTATTGAGCTATTAAAATCATATAATAACCAAAAAAAAACTAAAAATTTCTTAACTTGTGTAGAAGTATGGACCGTATTCTACATGCTTATGAAGTCAACATGCATCGAATTTTGTTCAACAACACTATTTTCTTTAGTGCATACTTAATGAAAATGATTTATATTAACAAGTTGGTTGAATGAAGTCAATTGACAAAGCTATATGGTGTGTAAAAAAATACTATAAAATACTTCAACATTGTAAAAAATATTATGATTTATAAATATGTGAAACAATATTTAATAGACACATTCTATCAAAAATTATGTGTAAAATATAATATATATAAAAAATAAATATTAAGATATTTTATCAAAAAAACTACTAAAAACTTACTTCAAAAGAATAAAAATAACACAAATAATGAAATATATTATTAATTAATATTTTTAATTCAATTATTTAGTTAAGAAGTATAATTAGTGTGTTCAAATTTAAACGATATATTAGTTTTATTATTATCATAAATAATTTCATTTTTTAATATAATATAGATAATTTAGTATTTTTTATATTTCTAAAATATTTCAAGCATAATTAGGGGAATGATAAAGCAACCCAAATTTTTACTAAAGCAATTTGCTCTTATTTTAATCATCATTGCACCCTCTATCCTTGTTCTCAGCTATTCTCTATTCCTAACTCTCTATTCCTAACTATTACTAAAGATAGAGGTGGAGGGTAAGGAACGCCAAGAACATGGATACTAGTTGGAAATAGGGGAATGGGTGGGAATGATGACGAGGTTGAATGGGTACAATGATGGTTTAAACATGTCGGTTGATTTAGTAAAAATTTGGATTGCTTTATCATTTTTTTACAATTATTATCCTTTATTATTATATTTGTTGTTTTTTTTTTAATTTTTCATAAAAAATTATATATATACAAGAATGTATGTTTGTATATATTTATTTGTGTTGAGTTTTTCAAAATTTGGAGTAGTTGATTTTGTACCTTCAATTTGATATGAATATAATACTAATATATACTCTAATTTTGTTTAAAGCTTTCTTGAAATTGTCTTAGATGACTTTTTGAAGTCTAAAATTTGAAAAAAAAAATTAAACTTACAAAAGAATTAGAAATATCAACAACAATGGTTTTTATATAAGAGCTTGTAGACTTGATCCATAGATGAATATTAACAATTAAAAATTGTTTTCAAGACAAGCCTAGGCAATGTTTTATCCCTTTTCAAATTCCAACTAACATTATTAGTTCCAATCAATTTTATGAATTAATTTTTCAAACCCAAATAGTTTGTTTTGAAACACTACCTCATTCTTCACACTCTTCTCACAAACACACACACACTTTCACATATATATAAATATATATATACATATTCTTAAATATACAATTCAAAGAGACACATTGAATCTTTTTGGGATCTACTTGAATGCATTACTAGAAAAAATAAAAATTTCAAACATTCATGCCAAATCTATGAAAGGGGATTTGGAGTGGAAGGCAAGGTGGGGGTAGAAGATAATATACTTGTGTGTGGCTGCCACCGTGGCAAGTGAAATCTGCTGGCGGCACAAGGGGGAGGGAACAACGAATCCATCCGACGAGAACCAAAAGTATCATCTGAAAATGGAAATACATCTATCCAATGGCACGGAGGTGGGGAGGGGGGTCCAACTCCGTGGCTAGAAGTTGGGGAGCTTCGTTATCCAAAACCCTCGTGAAAAATCCCAAGCCCCCCCCGTTTGTTTGTTTGTTTGCTTTGCTTGCTTGTTTACACGCCTGTTGTCTCGTGTTGCTTGCTCCATTTGTGCGTGCTTCCCGAGCCCAGCCTGCTCGTTGTATCTGGAAGATACCCTCCCAGCCTCTGCTTTAATCTCGCCGCCTTGGACCCCCTGTGTACGTGACTGCTGGTAGTGTGGTTCCGTTGGCCTTTTGTTTTGTTTTGTTTTGTTTTGTTTTTTTTTTTCTTTCCTTTTGTTTCGAGCGCCTATAGAGGTTCTCGTGTTGGAGAATTGCTTTGTGATTCTCGGGTTTTGTTTTTGAAGTGTTGCAGGGGTTTAGGGAAGTGATGGAAGATTCTGTTGTGTGAATGGCGTGGAATGAGTCGCTAGGGAATTTTTATTTTTTATATTTGTTTAACCATGTTTTGGAGATGCGGAAGCGAAGGTTTAAGTGGTGAATGATTGCCCTGGCATGGCGATTATGGTTTTTCCTCGACAGCTGTTGCGCTCCTCTCTCTTTTTTTGTCTTCGGCCTCTGCACAGTCCTCATTCATTGGACGAGACGGAGTTTAGCAGCTCGTGCGCTAGCTGCGTCACAAGCAAGAGTCTGGTAAGTATCCTGGTAGACGAGGCAAGTGTAGTAGTTGGGGCTTGTGCTGATCAGTGCTGTTCACAGCTCTAATTTCTATGGGCCCATGCGTATCTCATGGGCTGCAGTGCTAAGTACATTGCCTCGCCGATTAACACAATTCAGTGTAGAATCCGAATGTAAAAAAAGAACTCTGGGGCTTAATTTTACACCTTCATTCTAATTCAAACGTGTCTATTCCCGTACAGGACTTGCGAAGAAAAATTAAGTAGAAATAGGGTACAGGAAAACACTTCTTACTTAGACTTTAACACCAGGAGGTACCCGTTACACCGTTCACTTTTTTACGGCTTCTCGTCGAAGGAGTGGCTTTTCAAGGAGCAACACCATCGTCACATTTGTGTCTTTCCCAATTTCTGCTTCTGACCTACCTGCATTCAGCTGTACTACTGAAGTCTTTCATGGCACCGGGACAGTCAAACTCAGTACTCAGTTCCGAATCTCGACATTATTAGGAGGAGAGGGTTTGGATTTAAGTGCAGGGGTTTGGGTTTATTCGCTACAGATATGGCATCCACTACTGCGTCGCCTCTGGGTTGCTCGGGATTATCGTGGAATTCGTCAATAGTGCTGTTGTCTATGCGAGGTGAGTTATTGGAGGCAGTTGTGTTTGGTTTGTATCATTTTCATCTCTTCAGAGCGAGAGAGAGAGAGAGAGAGAGAGAGAGAGAGCGAGAGAGAGAGAAAGAGAGAGAGCGAGAGACATTGGCTATTACTAGTAAAGTGTGAGGAGAATGTTTATTACTAGGTTGCCAGGAATGCGTTATGATTCTGTTTCCTAGTTGGGGGGCTTTATATTTGGGATTTTGAGACGAAGCAGTTTGTTTTCATGAAGTTTGCGATGCCTTTTATTGAAAGAGTTTTTCTGTAGAGTTTCTGATACAGATAATTGTGCGATTGGCGCTTGTTTTCTCAAACCAATCTTTTGATTGAATGTTGGTATTTGTTCTATTCCTTCATAGAAGTTGCCTGCGTGTGGGGATGACGTTCCCTGGACTTACCAGTGGTTGTGGCGGCGTAGGTTCTGCAAGTGCTCATGAGAGGGTTCAATTGACAAGCTCGCTACGGTACACTTGGCCTTCTCAAAATGCTAGGTGCCAAGCTGTTACTTGTGCGGATCCTGTGCTTGGGGAAGCATGGGAAAGGGCTGCTTATAAGTTGGGTATACTGGTGCCACCGAAGCCCATGAGTGCTGCTGCATTCTCGAGAGAACTGTCTGTAACTGAGACCGATTCTGTGAAGGCGTATTCGTCCTCCTCCGCAGCTGTAGATACACGTGATTCATCAAATTCTTTTACCCGAGTCGGATCTCGGCAGAGTAAATCGGAAGTGTTCAAACCAGTAGTTGTAACAGCGCGTCAATTTCAGTCGGATCCTTTGAAGTCGGCTGAACATGAACCTGAGCGACAGGTGGAACCTTCTAGTTCAAGTAAACAAATAGTTGAGAACGACAAATCAAAAAGACTTGCTGACCAAGTTGAAGGTGTCAAAGTTAAGAAGACTCCTGCTAAACGGAGGTCTACAGTTAAGAAAGCTAGTGCCGATGGTTCACCAGTTGAAAGTAAGCCCAAACCCAGAGGACGGAAAAAATCTGCCTATGTGCAACTTGAGGGTCAGGATTCCGAAGAGGTTAATGTATCAAGTGATCGTCTTGTCCTGGCATTGAACTCAGAAGAGCCTTTCAAAACAGATCAGCTTGAGAAGCGACAAACATTTTCCAATGAATTTGTAATGGTGATTGATAGCGTTGATAAGGCTAAGATGGTTGTTAAGCAGCTGATGAGGGAGTACAAGGATGCTGTGCATGCTTGTGATACTGAGGTATGTCTTTACTTTATACGATTGGACTGCTCCTTGTTTGAGATAGTGTTCTGTATGCGTTGTCTCTGCCGAGGTAGTTTTGTTTTATGCATACATGCTTGCGCAATTGATTGCCTCTGTGCAATTGATAGGAATCCAGTCCATGTTGTATTTAATTCATTGTTTGGTTGTTGTACTTCGACCTGCCGTTGATATTCAATTGATTCTACATCATGTGTTGTCTTGCACTGTTAGTGTGAGTTTCTCGTGAGACACTGTTGATCTAGAAAATGTTGATTCACCACTTGAATCCGTGAACTTGGTTTTCATTATGCCCAGGTTGCGGAGATAGATGTGAAAAAAGAAAGTCCAGTTGGACACGGGCGAATGACGTGCTTTAGCATCTATTGTGGGCCATCTGCGAATTTCGGAAATGGCAAGAACCGTCTCTGGGTTGATGTTCTGGACGGCGGAGACGGCATTTTAGAAGTTTTTAGGCGCTACTTTGAAGATCCCTCTATTAAGAAGGTAGGCCTCACTGGCGCTCGAACTTCGCTAATATAGTGTGTATGAAAAATGACTTACTCGTGAATATTAGGATTCATACCCTAACACTAAAATATTAAGTAGTTTCTCTTTGCAGGTTCGAGGTATTTTTAGTTGCGAATCCGTAATAATACTCGAAGTGTCCTATGTTTCTACCAAGTTGCTTTTGAACTCTAATTTTAATAGTTCTGAAATTGTTTGGAGAGCTAGTTTTACGGTTCAACGACTTTGTGAACCGTATCAGATCCTATTCATATTTCACACTTTTCAGCTGTAGGAGAAACAGAATTCGACGTCTTTCCTGAAGTTGTGGCTTACTATCAGTGTTATAACCAAATGTGTTCTTTGTTGGGTTGATACTTACGCTAAAATTTAAGTCTAAGAGATTCCAAGCCTAAGCATAATTCTAAAATTCAAGTTGACTCGTATGATTGGCGGTGTGGGCAGGTGTGGCATAACTATAGTTTTGATAAACACATATTGAGTAGACATGGAATACATCCGCAAGGTTTCTATGCAGACACCATGCATCTGGCTCGTCTGCATGATTCAGCAAGGAGAGGTGCCAAAGGGGGCTACTCGCTGGAAGTATTGAGTGCCGACGAGAAAGTGATGGATGGTTACTTGGGGCATTTAACTGAAGAGGATGATATTACTTTGGTGGGGAAGAAGTCAATGAAAGAGCTGTTTGGAAAAGCTAATTTGAAAAAAGATGGCAGTCCTGGTAAAATTAAAACGATACCTCCGGTAGATGAACTGCAGAGAGACGGGGAGTTGCGGGACGCTTGGATACACTACTCTACATTTGATACAGTATGTACATGGCGTCTTTTTGTTAGTCTTCAGCATAAATTGAGTAATACTCCATGGAATGTGGTAGACTTGAAGGAAAAGGGTTCTATGTACGACTTTTATGAGAAGTACTGGAGGCCGTTCGGAGAAGTTTTGGTGCAAATGGAGGCTGACGGAATGCTTGTGGATTGTGATCACCTTGCTACTGTTGAGAAAGTTGCAAGAGCTCAACAAGAAATTTCGGTTAGCCGCTTCCGAAAGTGGGCTGCAAAATACTGTCCAGATGCCGCAATGATGAATGTTGGAAGTGATGCCCAGATTCGACAATTTCTGTTTGGAGGCACCGCTAATAGGTAGACGCTGTTGCCTTGCTGTGTTTGTTTCTAGTAGCTGCTGCGCAACAGGTGGAAGTAGTGGATTGGCCCAAATTAAAATACATTTAGTATAAGGTGAGAGAATTAATGTAAAGTTACATATCCTCACAGAATGCATCATATTCCTGGATGCAATTCAATCACGGTACAGTTGCATAATGATCAGTGTGAAGCTAACTCGAATCTAATAAGTTGGGATCCGATTTCTGATCTATCGTGTAAACACAGGAAAAATGCAGAACAAGTATTACCTATGGAGCGGGTCTTCAGTGTTCCCAATACCGATGGATTCATCGAAGAGGGTAAAAAGGTTGCTAAACAGACACGACCCATAGTGATAAGAGGGCTCGCGAATTTCAATATCAGAATACCTGTGGAGACTTACACATCTTCTGGCTGGCCAGCAGTTGGTGGTGCAGCAATTAAGGTTGGAGAATGTCCTATATATTCTCTTTCAGAACGTCAATGTTCTTAAGTGTGGATACGCGTTAATGAAAAGCTCTGTGAAGGTTTTCAGTCGCCCCTTAAATCATGTGAGATTCCATGGGATTTCCTTTTGTCGTCGGATCAATATGATGTGATGGTATTATCGATCTTGTTTGCTTTTTAAAAAGCTGCGGTGTTTCCCCTGTCTTCAAGGCTCTTGCAGGGAAAGTTGCGATCGACTATGCTGCCCTAGAAGAAGATTCTGAGGTAGAAGACATGGATGACATCGAAGAATCCGAGAGCTTATTGACCTCAGCTGGAGTGGAAACTGAACACGAAGAAGATTTGTCTGTATATGGAAAAGCATATCAAGCTTTTGGGGGCGGCCTAGAAGGCAAGGAGGCATGTATGGCATTAGCTGCGTTGTGTGAAGTTGCTTCAATCAACACATTGTTGTCCAACTTCATAGAGCCTTTGCAGGTATATTTTTTACATATTGCTTTAGCTGAAAATACAAAGTTTTTCCTTTCAACTTTTAACGGAACTGTTACTTTAGTAGGTCTTTTGCTTGGATGAGTTTTTAGCATTAGTCTTTACATTTTTCATGGATATGAAATGTTTTATATGTGTCGGGATTTAAAGAATTACCAGAAGCGTTAGTTTGTTTCCAAAGTCGAAAGTGTATTGTCGTTAAATAATAGAGCCCGTAAACTACATTGGCTAGTCACAATTTGTGTTTTCCTTCTAAATGTTTTTTCTCTCCTTTGCAATCTACTATTTTGACATGAAAGTTTTTTTGGCAGGGTAATGATATTAAGAGTGCTTCCGATGGACGTGTACACTGTTCCTTGAATATCAACACTGAAACTGGGCGTTTGTCTGCAAGAAGACCAAGTCTGCAGGTCGGTGTTTGTACCGGTACTAACCCATCTAGATTTATTTATTTTAATGAAAATGTCGTTTTATGGTGTGTCAAGCTCTTCACAACCTTGGATCGCATGTATCTGACATTCTAACAGCTTTTGAAAGTAAATATTTCCTCAATGTGATTAAAGCTTAGTCATAGGATAGCTGTTCAGTTCTTTGTATCGTATTTTCAGTCCATTTTTCTTATGCTTTCTGAAGGAATCCTTATGTTCTTGATGCAGAATCAACCTGCTCTTGAGAAAGACCGCTACAAGATCCGTCAAGCATTTGTTGCTGCTCCTGGAAAGAGTCTAGTTGTGGCTGATTATGGACAGGTATGAAACTGATTTGTAAAGATTATCTTATACACTTCTCATCTTTGGTGCTTGCATTTGAGAAAACTAGGTCGAATGTCAGTGGATGGTCGTGGTATGCCGTTGTCGATCTTAACTCAATTTGTAGTTATTCTAAACCATGCTTTTTGCTGCCTCAGTTAGAGCTTCGGTTACTTGCTCATTTAGCCGATTGCAAGAGCATGAAAGCTGCATTCAAAGCTGGTGGTGACTTCCATTCAAGGACGGCCATGAACATGTACCCTCATGTTCGCGAAGCTGTTGAGAAGGAAAGGGTATTGTTGGAATGGGAAAGTCACGGAAAACCACCTGCTCCACTATTAAAGGTGCGTCATTCTCTATCTGGCTTGTAGTTGGCTGAATTGATTTAATCACAAGAAGTGTTGGAAGTAGTAAACCTCGATCGGACTTGTGGATGATCAAGAATTATCCTAATGATCTAATATACGTGGGGTAGAAAACTGATTTAAGTGCCATCGGATGAACCAGTACGCGCGCAACAATCTTAGCTTTTGATGTTTTGATTTCATAATTTGTAACGAAAATAGTTAGATATCTTCTAGAAATGTTGGACACAATCTTTGACTTTGAATTGCTCACTAAAAATCTTAAGCGTGTATTACAGGATATTTTTGGATCTGAGAGGAGAAAAGCCAAGATGCTAAACTTCTCAATTGCATACGGGAAAACAGCCATGGGACTTGCGAAGGATTGGAAGGTGAAGGTTGATGAGGCGAAGGCTACAGTGGACCTTTGGTACAGTGATAGACCTGAAGTACTAGCTTGGCAAAAGGAGCGTAAACAAGAGGCTCACACTTCTCTACGTGTGCATACATTGTTGGGTAGAGCACGCCATCTTCCTGATATCAACTCTTCCAACGCACTGCTTCGGTCCCATATGGAGCGCGCTGCCATCAATACACCTGTCCAGGTAGGTGGATACCTGATGCATTTAGAATAATGATCAATGACTGGCATCACTCGTATTTGGTTTTTTCCATGTCAGTTTGGAGAAGAACATCTGAGGTTTTGGGAAATATTTTGCGTAGTTTCGATACCTGCATGTCACTGATTCTGTTTTGACTCGGTCAGGGAAGTGCGGCAGACGTCGCAATGTGTGCCATGCTCGAGATAAATCGAAATTCAAAGCTTCGGGAACTTGGTTGGAAACTCCTCCTACAGGTCAGGATTTTGACAATTCATCTTTTGTCGATGCTGCAGGTTGCATTTGGTTGTTAATTCAGCAGGCTCATGCCTTGCAGAATAATGAAGATATGGTTACTTCACTCGGTTTGCTTGAAAGAACTAGGTACTTGGTCTGCTGTTGGAATGAATTTTGTGTCGAGGATTTTTCTGTCACATTTTGAAACCTAGAGAGAGGGATAGAATTACTAAAATTACCTGAATCTGCAGGTGCATGACGAGGTTATCCTTGAAGGACCTTCGGAGTCTGCACAAGAAGCGAAAGAATTGGTGATAAAATCCATGATGTATCCTTTCAACGGCGAAAACTTTCTGGATGTTGAGTTGGTCGTTGATGGCGATTATGCTGAGAGTTGGTATGCAGCCAAGTAAATCAGTTTTTCATCCTGAAGCTGTCTGCCCATACCACGTCATCCTTCGTATTTTAACTGCATATTGATACGATTGCCACTTATCCCGCTACATTCAGCAAGGTGGGTAAGAATTACAATAATTCTTGTACCAGCTTCGAATATGCAATTATTCGCTCGAATTCTCTAGTGGCACGAAAAGATTCCATTTAACCCCTCATTCTCAGGAAACAGATTTGTCATCTTTTACCCGCACCTGCCGAGTAAGAGTCGGTCAGATGTGACTTGAGATTCTTTGTTTACTTCCACAAGCATGGTTACTCAAAGCCGTTTAGATCATCGATACTTCACATTAGGAGTCCTTGAATACTTTGGGGCCATTTTAATCGGCAACCTTGTGCTTGGCTCTGAAGGATGAGAATGCTGGTTCGAATTTTTTTTAGTGACAATATAGAATCTCTCAAGTATGAGAAAATCCTGTTAACCAAATTTTTTCCGAGTTGTCGACTCTTGGTTCGAATTCTGAACTACGTACTTGGAAGGATCACAGTTAGTGGGTTAGAGGGGGACAGACATGCTACTTGGTTGTTTGAAGAACCTTCGGAGTATGGAGTTAGCATGCATTGTTTGTACTCTTAAGTGGGTAACCCCCCCCCCCTTTTTTTTTTTTTTTTTTTTTTTTTTTTTTTACTTTCTTTCTCTTGATTCGGACGTAGGTGATTCTTCAGAACTGTGCCCTGGAATTGAAATGAATGTCCGGTTTCGAATCAATGAATTGTATTCACTTCTGACCTGAGTCTTACATCGTTGTGTGCTTCCGTTGTTTGCATCGTCTATGTGATGACAATGTGAATTTTCAAGCTGCGCTCTTACAACACAGATCCGAGATTTCATTTCCCCGCTGTCGCACTTAATAACTCAAACAGTTTCGTGTGGTAAGCACTCCAACGAAGATGAACGCTGACACGTGGAGACTCCCAAGAATCGCACACCTTGCGCACAGATCGCCTCCAATGAAAACTTTGACAAACAAGAGAATGAGAATCTATTGGCGTTCTGCACGTATCTTTGCGCAATCTTCGAGCGGCGAGTTTTGTGCTCCGCCATGAAATCGCACTAACTGGATTAATATAGCAGATCTGGACACGGAATGGGGGAAAGGCAGCCGTCAGGTGACGCAGGTTGTTGTGCCTCCGCAAAAATGTGTGGATAAGTCCACATGGATTGGGTCGTAAAGATTGCGCAATGTAGGGGAAATGTGTGAATCGTCCATTCGTTTAGATAGAGTACAGTGTCTGTGGATAGCGAAGCTGCCGTTCACGGTTGGTGGAGTCGGATGGTTGCCACCAATGGCATCGGGTCCTGTGCGAAAGGAATGTCCAATCTACCGGAGAAAGATGAAAGTCTGACATCTAATAGAGAATGCACCCATGAGCGTTCGGCAACCCAATTCCAGTTGCGCGGTAGAAACTGCTCATCTTTACTGTGCCGAAATGGCGTTCTCGCCTCCGACCCCTTCCTCTTCCTCGTCATCTAGTGCTTATTCAACTTCATTGGCATTTGATAGACAACAAGCTTGGAGGTTTCCAAGGCTCATGTCTCCTTGCATACGGTACAACGCTTGGTATTCATCATGGACAAACGCGGCAGCTTACAGTGACTGAAACTGCTCATATTCTCAATCTTTTAGGAGTAAAGTGCGGTGTAGAATGGTACGTAGAATTGCTGAAGCGTGCGAGGGATGACGTGTGGAGCAAAGACAAATTGCAATTTGGCAGGAGTGGTAGGGTAAAGGATTGTTGTGGGTTTCAAGAGCGACAACATTACGTGAAAATGGGCAACGGGGGAGAATTTGAGTTGTCGCAAGAGGTGTTGGCGGTTCTTCCCTCAGATCCATATGAGCAGCTTGATGTCGCTCGTCGTATTACAGCCATGGCCATATCCACCCGCATGTCAAAATTAGAATCGGAAACTGGGAAGCTGCGGCAGAGGCTGGCAGAAAAGGAGCATGTGATTCTCGGTTTGCAGGAGCGCGTTGCAGAAGCTCAATCAACCTTACAAGAGACGAATTCGAAGATCACACAATCTATGGACGAGCAGGTTGGTATGTCGCACGGGGTCATGGGTACCATACGCTCCTGTATTGTCTCAGAAACCAGGATCAGAGTGTCGCTATTTGTGATGCTGGACTTACTGGTCATGAGAGTATCAAGATTTTGAATATTCTTATCTGTAGATGTTCTTTTCTTCCACTGAAAAAACTGAAACCAACCATATGACGCAGTATGTTCATTTTCACTAGCCATGTTGCATCATATCGTGCTACTTTTAGGAGAAATATCATACCAGCTTATTTCGAACTGATCGTTCTATCTTGTTCCAGTAGAAACTTGATAGTTCGCTTTTTTCGTAGAGGGGCAGAGTGGAGTTGCTTCGAGATCTTTGATTTCATACTTTAATCAGCGCTGTTTTCTTCATTCAAGGACATCACGTTCTAGATCTTCTAAGCCCTCGATCTCCCGTGGTGGAGCTTCGTAGGTCTGGCACCTAATTTGTGATGTTATTTTCTGTGATACGAGATTAGGAGTTTCAAACCTTAAAAATTGGTGGTTGGTCTTTCTGGCAGGCGAAGCTTGCTACTGAGAAGAATTCGCTGGCTCTTCAAGTGAAAAAGTTAATGCGGGATGTTGCAAAGGTGGGGTGACTCTGGAAGTCTCTCCCCTTTAACCGCAGATGGCGTCGACATTCTGAACCTGTTTTTTTAATGCACATATCAGAATGTTCAAGTCTTTGATGATATTCCTCTGTCCTCCTTTTTATTAAGTTCTGAACAGATCGAAAATTTCCTGAACGGTTTTGCCAATTTTTGCAGTTGGAGACTTTCAAACGGACACTTATGCAATCCCTTCAGGAAGAAGACGATAAGCACGGCGTATGTTTTCTCATCCTACTTTTACCTTTCAAATTATTACAATGCTCGGCGTTATGTTTTCAAAATTGCTCTTTCTTTTGAACGTACCCTCTGAACGCGTGCCCATGAAGCAAAGTAGAATGCGTAACGTTGCAATGAGTTGGTGAGGCTGTTGGAACTTTGGGTTGTAGAATGTGTGAAACTCGGTTACACTCCTTGAATTAGGTCCTTTCGTGCTCTTGCATCTTTTCATAGACTTAGTCACGCTTCAGGCATTGAAGTCATTTCTCGTAGTATGGGTAGCTTTTTGTGTATTGAACCCGTAATATTGCAGCCTCGAGTGACCAATCTCGCGAAGTGGGATCGAGGACCAGTTAATTTAAACATTCTCTGGAACTTGCTCTCCACTACTCCTTTCGATACCTGAGATTAGATAACCGATTGGCCGAAACGCCCAAATCCTTTAACTTCATCTGAAATCTGAATGAATTTCACCTGCTGCACAATCACTGTGCAGGGCATGGATACTGAACCTACATTGTTTGTTTTCGTCGACAGGGCGAAGGCGGGAATAACCGTGGAGAGCCTCAGAGTTTGGCCCTTTACAAGGCTACTCGTAAGCTGCAATACTCTTTAAACAAATTTATTGGACACTTTGTATTTCTCAGACTCTCTACGAACTTGTCCATATATCTTAAATAAGGTCTCTGGCACCAATTGAAGACCATTTGCATCATGTGAACTTTTGTATGACAATAGGGATTGCTTAGCCGAAGATAACTGAGCATCTGAATACTTGGAAGGAAAGTGCTCTACATTGGGTTGTAAAGAGTGGTGAAACATGTGTAGAGGCAGAAACTTTGAGTAAAGCGCAAATATTCGAGGATGATGGTCGGTATGCAAGGGCGTCTTTCAGCGCAAACCCTCCTCAGTATCATGACGATGCCGATAGCAAATCAGGTGCTCTGTCCTTTCGATTATACCAAGAACGGATCACCCTCTTGGTGCACGACCTTGTTACTGTTATGTGTAAAGTTCATGAGCTAAGATAAGTATCTTTTTTGCTTTCCTTGTTTTATTTCTAAAAACATTACATGGTCTGTGCAAGGAATGCAGCTACACCAACGTCTCAGAGTGCACGTAACTCACCGAAACAAATTATTCGTGGAACATCTTCTGCACGAGGAACACCGTCATTGACTCCACGGTTGACCCCCACTGGATCTCCCAAACCCCAGCCTAAGAAAGGGTCACCTTTGCCCTCAAGTTATACCCTTGATTCTCAGCATATTCAGATTCCAACTTCGCAACCAACTAGTCGATCCAGCTCGCCCCCAAGCTCTGGTTCTGGTCAATGTGAGGCTTCGCCACTTTGTTTCCGTCTGATGTTAGGAACTTGAAACACTGTTATGTACCGTTCAACTGCTATTTGCTGGTGCACGATTGTAGAATCATGACTTTTCATGCTTACAACTTTAGTCGCAACGTTTTGTGACAGCACGCACTACTCGACTTGATGGCAAGGAGTTCTTCCGTCAAGCTAGGTGCGTATAGACTTTTGGGTATCCTCGCTTTTTGATCATGCGTTACTATGAGGTCTCATGGTTTAGGGCTTTTGCTTTCGTAATTATTTGCTTCACTCTTATCACTCTAGTTTTTGGCATTTCTACCAAACCCATGTCTGCAATTATATGTATAAAATACACTAACTTCACTGTAAAATGCGGAGGACACTTCACTAATCTTTTGCTTTGAGCCTCTCGCTGACCAGTGTACTTTGTTGAAAATGGGTGTAGGGCTCGGTTGTCATACGAGCAATTCAGCTCATTTTTAGCAAACATTAAGGAGCTTAATGCACATCGTCAAACACGGGAGGTAAAACTTTCGGTCTATACTCTGAGTGATCCCTTGCTTAAATCTATTCGGCATTTGATGTGGCTCATATATGTTGATAAATCATCTTGGTGCTCGTATGAGAAACTGTTGAGAGCTGCTAGGACCTACCTGTGTGGTGTGCTGTATGATACAGCTTCTGAGTCTATTTGTTGTACCCATTGCAGGAGACTCTGGCGAATGCTGAGGATATCTTTGGCCCAGAGAACAGGGACCTGTATGCTGCATTCGAAGGAATTCTAAGTCGCCATCTTCCTTCATAGGTCTTTTTCTCCCAAATGAGGACTGGCTGATGATTGTTGAAGGTGGTTATGTAGTCTGCGCTTGTATGGTGCATCCTCAGATTTCTCTCAAGCGGGTCATACTGGAGAAGTAAGCTTCACATGCATGTAATTATTTGAGGCTCTCCTGTCATTGTCGGCAAAGACATCTTGTAGATTCTTTGACAGTCTACCGGTAAGGACCTTCTTCCGATCTGGTGCCATCTGAAAGCATCTCGTAACGTCAAAAAGTGACAATCGAGTATGCTTGTAGGACCTGAGCATTTTGTTTGAAGATAACATAATGTACCCGTCAACAAGGTGGCGGAGTTGCAAGTTCCCTATATTTGTACGATTCTGAAAATACGTAGGCAAGTAATTGCCGCTACGTGCTTCTAAATAACTAAATGGACTCTGGAATTTTTCTCTCAACTGGAAGCTGAAAGTGTGCTGTCTGTGTTTCGAAGCTGAAAATACTGTAAACTCACTCAAAAGTGCGTAAGTACGGTAATAATGGTCATATTGAAGCCTCGAAGGGGTCAATGCAGTGTTGGACCTGGATCACGAACACGCCTATTTATTTTACAGCTTCCGTGGACACTTTTAACCAATCTTAAAAACAGCCGCTATCAGAAACGTAAAAAGAACTACCCTCTCTCAATCGACTTCAAGACTTAGATTGATATTTCTTTAGTTTCAATCTTAAGTTTGACGGAGCTTCCGTTTCCTGAAGTTTCGCACACAATCAGCCTTACAGGCCAACACGTTGGTGACAGTGTTTACGAAAAATTATGGACGTCTCCTGCAGTTTGCTGACTGTTCATACGTAATCCCCTATCCTCTACTGTTGCATTGGACTTTTCCTCTTCGCAACACTCAAGTCTATACAAAGCCGACCTGTTAGGCAGCGGCGCAGCCAAGAATCACAATCCTTGACGTGAGTCGGCCAATTTCCTCCCTTTCTTGGCACCTCCAAACAGTCTGCCGCTCAGCAATTCTTCAAACAGTATATTATCGTGACACATGTAACCTGGTCATGCCTAGGACGTGCAAGATTCTTTCACAGCAGTAGCATTCCTTACAAGCCAGAACTTCCTCAGGTCTGTTAGTGCACAGCTTTTGTTGCAAAACATCTCGAGTGTAGAACCATCGAAAACTGGGAATGTATTCTCCGAGAGGTTGTATCAAGTCTGTGTAACTACAAACCAACAATATTAGAGTCTGCTTCATCACTACTCAACACAGTTTGAAGCTCAACAGAATTTGATTAAGGAGATTCCTCTCCATGCTGTAAAACACTCAAAGGTTTAGGTAGAGTTCCTAATTGACTGCAAATGCATATCTGATGTGCAGACTGCTGAAACAGATGTCAGGGGTTCGAAATAGAGAACGATAATGCAATGGCTTCGATACTAACACAAAAATGAAACTCCTTGGATCCCAGCTTAGTACATCGTGCCGGGGAATAAGGAGCATCTTGAGCATATCATATTCATGGATCCTGGGAAAAAATTGTTTGCAGAAAGCCTTGACCACATCCACTTGTGTCAGCATCCTTCTGGCACTACAGAATGGTCCCCGGGATGTCACAGCAACAAGCTAAAGTTGACCAGCTTCGATGATGATAGCGACTGGTCTGATGACCAGTCTTCTAACGACTCTGCTTCTACTGTTTCAGTTAAGACTCTCGGGATGTGATTTAACGGTTTAGACAGTTGACAGAAACTATAGTGCAAGGAGGGTGGGTGAGCACTCACGTAATGCGACCTGTATGAGGGTAACGAAGGCGGATTGTTCTCATCGGAACTAGCTTCAACGTGCATCTTTGCAGGATGGTGCAGGAGCGAAGGTCCAAGAGCTGCATCGCGAATTCGTGGCGAAAGGAACGAAAACGGAAGTTGTATCGCCGTTGGTAAGATCCATATTTGAGAATCGAAAGAAAACGATCCTCGATGAAAGTCAGAAACTGTCAAGGAAAGAACAAGTAGTGTCTCAGAGAATCAAAGAGAATTCTGTGGAAGATTACGAAAAGATGGTGAATAAGAAGGTGCTAGCCTTGGATGAAGAAGTGGCAATTTTCAAAGTAGAAAGCAAGAGACTTAAGAACCTTGCGAAGGTTAGTAAATCTGTCGCAAGCTCCTATTGAAGTTTTGTGGAACTCATGGTCAATCAATAAACTCATCAACGTAACATCGTTGTTGAATTTTTACACGTTGGTAGATTGTTGCGCAATCAGTTATCTGATTTGTAAAACTAATACAAACTTATGACGCGTGACCAGAACTCCTTCAGCTGCTTGTAGATAGCTTTTCAATTCGAAACCCTTACAATTCTTTACTTGAGCTACTCAACAAAATCAGAGCAATCTCGTTTTTATCCCATGGCCTAATTCTGCAGGTTGATATGTGTTATATGTACAACACAGGAGCATGAAGAAGGTTTGAAGAGTTTGGCACGAGAGAAAACCGAATGGGAGGAGCAGAAGAAGAGCCAGATTCAAGGGTTTCAGACGCAACAAGAGGAGCAAGTAGGGGTCATATCCACGCTCCTCCATGCTGCATGTTGTCAATTCTTGGTGCTTAACAATAATCAGCTTTTTAAGTCTGCCAATGTTTCTGAGATGCGACCAATGAAGTAGAACGGGGGATTTGTGTATACTCCTCATTCAGAATGCAAGATTGTGCTGCCCGAAATTCTCTACATGACATCAGCCCTTGACATATAGCGATCATTTTCTATTTTGTTTCGTTCTGATGTCACTGAGGTGCACAACGTAATCAACAGAGTTTGATAGGTTCCCTTGTCCCAGATCGAGAAACTGAAGAAGGAAAAGAAAATACTGGATCGTAGGGCTGCTGTCTTGAACGGTGCGAACCCAATGCAACGCAAGGAGGTTGAGGAACTGAGAGAGACTTTAGCCAAACAGCAAGAGGAGCACCGCGGAAAAGAATTACGGCTGCGTCTAACTGTGAATATTCTTGACCTTGTCGTAAATTACTCATCGCCCTTAATCTGTTTGATACTCGTCTTGTTAGAACATCGAGCTGAGGTGGTTCTCTTGTAAGGTTACACATTCCCAAGTTTTGCACGGTTCAGGAGTCGAGATAATCATTAATCGCTCCACCATTGTTAGCAAACCATGAAATTATTGAAACCTGACGAACCCGGATCATTTCGTAGGTCAATCGGTTAAAAGCCATGAATGAGGATCTGACGAAGCAAGTATTAGAGATGCAAGACGAGGTATCTACCTTCTTGGCTCCTGTATGTTCTATGCTGCATTTTCCTCTCAAATGTAACTCCAATTTCTGTGACTCAAACAACAAAGTCATGGCAATCTCACTTGGAAATATGTGTTTGATTGGATTGTAAATAGTTCGCTAACAACGATGAAGCATCGTTTGCAGTTTCTTAAGCGTGTTCCTGATACGTTATGGTGAATATTTGAAAATATTTGGCTGACAATGTTCTCAACTCTACTCTGAGATAAGAATAGTCTCAAAATCATGCTCCACAAACCTCAAGAAACTTGTTAAATTCTACCTGACTATGACAGATTCGAAGGTACGAGAGCTGCTTGCTTTCTGCTTTAGATGGCCGAGAAAACGACTTCCTGACAACTCCTTTCTCGAAAAGGCCCTACGGAGAGGCCAATGACAAACATGCACACACTTTACCATGTACTACACCAAAACAACTACCAACTCCAGTAGCACTAGAAGGAAGAAGAAGAAGCAGCAGGTCAGGCAGCCATGGCTCCATGGAAGAAAACTGTGAGGCTCTTGACAGCATGAGTGTTCACGAGAGGGAGCAGTATAGTAAGGTATCCACTCCGAGACTTCTATCCGAGCAAGCCAAGGTGCTCTCCGAAGTCTTCAATCAACCTTGGAAAGCAGCCCATCGTTCTGCCATGGAAAAGGCAGCACTGAGCAGAGCTGAACTGGGCCCAAGATTTGCAGCAGACTGGAGTTAGTAATGTAAACCCTAAGTGACTTAGTAAAGCCTCGAACCCTTTTCACACGGGGACCCCCGAAGTAGAAGTATTGTTGTAGTTTGTAGAATATGTTTGTAGAAACCCTGAGAATACTCTACTTCATAAGTATGAAGAAATTTTAATTAATTTATTGGTTTAATAATTTTTTTTATAGAAAATTAAAATATTGGCGATTTCATTGTACAAGAAATAATTATATTTCTTATTTGAGGATATTTGTGACCCTTTAAACCAACAGAAGTAGATTTGTTTTACCATGAAAATATGTTGCTATAATTGGTATGTGAATGTGTGTATGCTGATACAATTAAAGTGTGCATGCGTTGAAGAAAATCAGACAACTTAGAGTTGTAACAGCAAAAATGAGCAGAATGAGCACCATTTCACTAAAAAACCTCTACTACATAGATTCGAATGAAAATAGTATAAAATTTGACCATATATATACTTGAAATTGGATGTTTTTGAGACTGTAAAAGTAACGTAAATTGAGTTCGTATATTTTCTATTCATTTTATTGACAGGAAACTTTGATTCTTTGATAAGAGAATCAATTTGGTTTTATAATCAATTGACTTATGCTTCACAAAATAAATAAGTCATCTTTTGACGTGTTCATATATATATATATATATATAGAGAGAGAGAGAGAGAGATAGATATATATGAAAAAAAATGTAATCTTGAATACAAATTACCACAACTTTAGTTTTTAATTCTATGAACTTTTTCCTTTTTTCTTAATGTTTTACTTTCACTTCATACTTAATTTAAAAATTTATCATCTGATATATATATATATATATATATATATATTTGTGTGTGTGTACACATCTTTTGTACACAAATTTGCAAAACAAAGTTGTAATATATCTCAAACTTCATTATATCAAACTATCAAATGTTGTTTAAAGTCTAAGAATTATCACAACCCTTTTTTGGAGTAGAAGTTGTCTTATCCACTTTATTCAGGGCAATGTTCCAATAATCATAATCAGAAACTACTCGATTCTTGAAAATTAAAAGATAAGGGCACATAATTGGTACATTGTTTGTACATTGAAAATGGAAATACTCTTCACAGCTTTAAGTAGTCAACGTTCATGTGAAATTGAGTGCAATGTACAGTAGAAAGTATTGATGATTTACAGAATCATAGTGTGTGTGTGTGTGCGTGTAGCACACATATGCAGTACTAAATCACATGTTATATACTGTGGTGCACATTCAACAAAGATAACCTTCTACCCCATCTCCTTAAGCCACGCATTTATTTATTTATTTATTTATTTACACCTTGACTGCTCCAAAGCCCCCAAGCTACGCCTCCTCACACAGATGTGGCCCCGCCCTCCCCCACGCCAGGCTCGACCCGACCCGGTCCCGTTGGGCCCAGACTGGACCAGGCCACGCAAGAGCCGGGCCTCACACGCTTTTGCTGCCCGTGGCGTTGCTCTTGGTGCCTCGCTTCTGCTCGCTCGCTCTCTAATGTTCATCAGGACTGTATGCTGCAGGGCTATTCTCTCATCAATCTCTCCTCTCGCATTGCATTTGATTGCACTCCATGGCCTGGCATTTCATCCCATTCCACTTGTTCATGGTAGATGCTGGCTTTGCTCTGAGCATCTTTTGCTTGGGAGCTCGGCATGAGTCGTTGTGGAGGACAAAGGGTGGTTGTTGTTGGGATGTGTGTGTGTGTGATGTTAGCGCCGGGTGCTGAGATGGAGAGTGGCATTTTTGAAGTGTTGCTTTTATAATTTGAGGCTTCGTTCCTAGACGGGCGTCTTGGTATGCTTTATGACGCTACTTTGAGTTCTTTTTGTTTTTTCGGTGAGTGCACTGGCTTTGTGAGCCGATGCGGCTCAAGTTGGAAGGCAGAGGGAGGGAATTCGCTCCAACTGCAGGAGAAGAGATCCCTTTATTTCGATCTTTCGTGTTGCAACCGGGATTATTTGTCGTGAGTTAATTATACTTCCATTGTAGCCTCGTGTGGCCTTAACGAGCTCTGAAGGTGTGTTGGCGAGCGTTGTTTACACATCGAAGGAGCCAATTGAAAAATCATGTCGCAGCCGACACTGAGTTCGAGCAATGTTCCTTCTGGAGTACCGCCCCCTCTCCATGCATTCGTCAGCAGCAGTAAATTTAATCCTAGTATGGCTATCATCATTGTTGTTCTTCTTTGCGCATTGATTGTGGTAGCCATTTTTTCAATGTATGTTAGAAGGTGCACTCAAGGGGGCCGCGATGAAACCAGCAATCGAGTTACACCAGCAAGAAATGGAAATCAATTTATTCATTTTTATGAGCGACCGGGGGAGGGACTAGATAGAGTACTTGTAGATGCGCTACCCGTGGTGAGCTTCTCTGTGGTGAAAACTTTGAAGAGCGGGAAAGAGGACTTGGAGTGCGCTGTCTGCTTAGAGAAATTTAATGAAGATGAGGCTTTGCGGTTGTTGCCACAATGCAGTCATGTATTCCATACTGAATGCATTGATCTGTGGTTTCACTCGCATTCAACTTGTCCTTTATGTCGTATGAGCCTTAAACCTACTTTTGATGGGATCGGTGCTGGCGTCCCCGAGATCGGCGAGGTTTCAAGGCGTATACTCGATGCCCAGGATGAGATATTTGGTTCTGCGAGACATGTGCTCGATGTAGACAGTCCCATTTTTGAGAATGAAGTTCCTTACGGTAAGTGGATGTTTTGTAAGTAGGAGGTCAATATTGTTCTTAACTAGTAGGTCTTCCTTCGTGTATCCCATCTGTATTGATTGCGTCATATTCTGAGAACAAGAACTCCAGCAGGAGTCCTTGTTTTCAAAACAGCCAACATAAAATTACTAGCTGCCAATGTAACGACTTTCTGGTCACAGATAGATAAGTACATGATTTTGCTGATTGCAATTTTGTGGAATCTTGCGTACTCCGGCGATGCTTAAAGAGATGAAAAATACAAATCGTTGAATTGCGATGTTATTGTTGTTAGTGGAAGTTTAGTTATTGCTGTTGTTGTTATTAGGAAGAGCGTAAGCTAAAATTGAGAAGGCCGGTGAGGAGAAGGAGTGGGAATACTATCCTCCTCGATTTTCTTACGTAACTTGTGGTAAGACGTTTATGAACGTAGGTTGTTCTATATGTTAACGAGATCATGTATTTTTCTGAACAATCAGGAAGCAGTAGTAGAGTGGAGCAGATCATTGGAAGAGACGATGAGAGTAGTGCCAGAACGACACTCTTTCGGAACTTGGATTCCTTCAGGCAAGCAGCTCGAGGAGTCGAAATGCGGGAAAGACTTGCCACTCTTTCAGCTAGATATCCAGCTTCTTCTACAGATGTGCATTTAGAGTGTCCTCAAAGATCATGAAGCTTAAGCTGCATCAACCTTTCGCTTCAGAGGACAGGTTCTGCGGGTGCTGCAGAAATAGGGGAGTTTCTCAACAGTGAAGACTTCAAATATGGATCACCAAGACCCGGTGTCGCTGGACCTTCCTTGAACAACTCTTTAGGAAGGCGAGGTAGTCTAAACGAGTGTGGGCTAAAAACACTGGCAGCTGGAGTAACAGTAATCGAAGGGCAACATTTGTAGAAGAGGGGGCGTTGTTTTCATCAAGCTGATAGCAATGGACAACTGTAGATCTAAATGGCGTGCCACATGCATATATACGGAAGGGCTCAACCAGCGATAAATTTTCGTGATTCAGATATCCCAACTGTCCCCAACTCCCGACAATTGCCATGCAAGCTCTGTACTTGTTAAGGCATTCTGACTAGAAAAGAAAGTGAATGCAGCTCATCGTAAATCCAGAAGTGTGAACGAATGCGGACAAAGTTCAGGGGGAGTGTACTAAGCCTTCGAGGTGTACTAAGCCTTCGAGGTGTACTCTTATTGCACAGATCGACCTCATTTTCCCCGTTGAGCACCTTCCATCTCGAACGCGACCGACATCCCTCACTGTGGATAGAAGGCCTGGTGCACAAATTGAAAAATTTCCAAACTTTGCTTCGACGAAGATTCAGTGGCAATCAGAAGAGCACAAGGACTCCAGATGTAACTCTGCCAAAGCATCGTTGGAACTTAGGATTAAACTGCAGGAGGTTGTATCTGAGTGAAACTGGAGTTAAACTGGACTCCTCAAATTTTTGCTTGGCTTTTTTCTGTATGCGGAAGCCTGGATATATAGAAACAACATGGCCATCAATTACCCGTAGACTGATTCCAGAAGTTATCCACATAACCGAGCTACAGCAGTCACTCTTTTAGCACGGACATCATCGACGTTTCTTTTCAAATTGCTAAGTTTTTATGGATTCTCCAAGTAACACTGCACTCGGTCTTATTATTACTGAGTGATTATCGTCTACGGGGCATTATTGCATTTGTGAATGCCTTATTTTATACCTTAACACGCTCGAATATAGATTCAGGTAGAGGTCGGTTACACCGATGGAGTCTCGACACTTAGAAGAGGTCGATTTGACTACATATACCCAACCATAGTGCCACTAGGAGCAAGTGACAGGACAATACATCCGACTTCGTCGTCTTGAAACTTCAACAAATAAAGATAAAAAAAATAAAACACAAAAAATAAAACCAAAAGCATAAAGTATCTTTCCATGGATTCTAACAATGCTCTCTCCGTGCGTATATCACTCCAGGTTTTAGATTTGAGCTCCCCATCAAGGATGGCCTCTCAAAAAGACTTGGCTTACTGGAGCTGGAATGTGGGTATCAAACAAGACTTGCATCTTGCGAAGAGGACTTAATCTAAGAAGGAACAGTTGTAGACGAGTTCAGTGGCCGGAATCACTGCTATGCAGCGCAGACGATCTTTGTGAAACAGGTTTGTGAAGTAACTCCAGCATCTATTTTGGTGTAACCATCTGTTATTAATGAGTGGAGAATCTTGAAGAGACTCAGAACTTAAGGCATCCATGTCGAAGTGGATGGAATTGGAAGGTTGTTATCATATACCGGATAACAATGTGTTTTTATGAAAGTGTGGGAGACCAGCGTACCTATCTTAAGAAGTTATGCCTGATTAAGGACATTATTTTCTAATGAGCTCCTGGATCCAAGGAAGCCAAGGATTGATTCGATTTTCGGATCACGCATGATTTATTTTATTTTATTTTATTTTATTTTTTGTCACTAATGAAAATAACTTTCATTGTAAGGGGTCAGTACACAGTGTTGGCCTGGACAGAATTAATAAATCCTAGCCAGACATGACACGGACTGACGAAGAATATAACACAACCCACTTTTACTGGGATCGGCTTTACCCTGGCCTGAGCTTCTGCGCATGCCATCTAATAGATCTACGATGACGGGTGCAGATCACCTGATTATTACAAGATACCATGTACTCCTTGTGCATAGACCCCACCCAGCCCCCCACTCTTGACTGTTATAAACCGTTTCTGCAGTGTAGTGCCAAACTGATCCCAGATGATGTCGATGAGACTTTGCCAGCTTGCTTCTTCTGTTTGGTCGAGGGAGTATTTTTGTTTAGCTTCCTTCCATGTAAGATATGTAGATTGGGATTGTGACCAGCAGTCATTGATTGTTTTGAGGCCACGTTTGCAGATTTCAGCAGTTCGTAGCGGGGGGACGATGGATCTTGTAACTTCCATTAGCTCTGGGCTGTACCATAACCCAACATTGCACGTTGCTTCAAATGTTTGGGGTCGTTTCCAATGGAGAGCTTTCACGACTTTTTGCCATGCTTTGCCTATCTGTAACCATATCTTCGACCCTGGAGCTCTTTTATGATTTTGTGCCATACACCAGTTTAGGTCTGGCCCCCAGTTTCCTGCTTTAGTAGGTTGATATTGGAGGAGACAATAGCGGAGGAACTTAAGTAAGTTAAAGTTACCAGGCTCGCATGCTCGAAGCACCCACTTGCTTAACAGGCAGTTGGTAGCATCGTCGGGGTCTGTGAGACTTAAACCTCCCACTTTGTATTTCAGAATACAAGTTTTCCATGCTACCCTTGCTCTAGCTCGATACTCTCTTCCTGCCCATAAGTAATTCCGCAGGAGGGCTTTGACTTGTTTAATTACTTTCCTTGAACTAGCCAAAACTCCTATAAAATACCAAAGCGAGGACATAAGTACTTGATTAACAATTAATATTCGACCTGCTAGGGATAGCTTCGAGTTTCACCAATATGTGAGCTTCTTTTTGATCTTCTCCAGTAGGAAATTGTCCACATCAGGTGTTCTAATAGAAAGTCCAAAGAGTGTGCCTGGAGCTTAGTGAGTTGACCTTCCTGAACCCATCCCAACCAAAGTTTTGGATCCAAGGTGGAGGATGTCCTCTTTTACTAATCCAAAAAGCTCCTGACTTATGCCAATTGATGATAAGACCTGATGCTAAGGAGATTTTTTCTAGTGTCTCAACCAGATTCTGCACATACTCTCTTTCCTCTTTAATTGTGAATGAAGTATCGTCTGTGTATTGTAACATGAGTTGCTGTGAATCAGCGTTGGGTAGTTGAATACCTTTGATGCGGTTATGTTCTTGTTCTTGTCTAATTCTTGCATTGAGAGCTTCTCCCACAATCAAAAATAAATATGATACAACGGGGCAGGCTTGTCTTACCCCACGTCTAATTGGAATAGTTGTAGAAGGTTGTCCATTTATGTTGATTGCAGCTACCGAATCTTCCAATGTTAACTTGATCATGTTGATAAATTCTGCAGGAAATTCCAATTTCCTCATTATATTTAAGAAGAATCTCCAATTGACTCTATCATAAGCTTTAGCAAAGTCTAACTTCAAAAAGATGGCATTCTGTTTAGATCTCTTAGCCCAATCAATCGTATCTTGAGTAAGAAGGATGTTGTCAAATATATATCGATCCGGCATGAATGCACACTGATTAGGGTTGATGATTGCTGCCAAAGGACCTTGCAAACGTAGCTGGAGGGCTTTCGCATAAATCTTATATGTTGTGTTTAATTAAGTTATAGGTCGCCAATTAGCCAAATACTTCCTGTCACCCTCCTTGGAGGTATCACATGAGTGTAATAAGACCACTGCATACTCCTTTTGGAAATGAGCCTGATGTAATCGCAGCCCGTATCATCTCTGTATAATCAGATCCAATAATCTCCCAATATATGATGAATTTTTTTGTTGCTGTTCCATCCGATCCAGGAGCTTTATCCAAAACCATAATTTTCAGCGCCTTGTAAAGTTTTGATTTGATGATGGGCTGTGCTAGAAGTTGAGCCATGAAATCTGAAACAGAGTGGTTTATGGCTGAAAGACAATCCACCTCCTCTTTCTTGCACGGTGGCACACTGCCCTCAGAATCGAAGAGGTTGCAGTAGTACCGCATACATACCTCTTCTACTTCACTATGGCCTGTGGTTACTCGTCTCGAATCTGTGCATAGCTCTGTAATGAGATGTCGTGCTGGTTTATCACTCACGGCTTTAAAAAACTCATGTGACATACTGTCCCCGCGTGCCTTCCATCAGACTCTGGATCTTATCCGTCTTCCTTCAAATTTTCACAGTTCAATTCTTGAGATTGCCTCTCGACATTTTTCTGCTTGTTCCTGCCTCACAAGAACTTCGGGGCGGTCTTGTAATTCTTGCTGCACAGTCGTTAATTCAGCCCGTGCCATCGTCTTGGAGTGGCGCCTCTCGTTCGCAATTCTAGTGCAAAATGTTTTTTAGAATTTAATGAACTTGCACAACCTGGACATGAACGATGAGTTGGCTGCCCTGCGTTCTGTCCATATGCGTTGAACAGCTTCTTGAACCTCCTTGTCCTTAAAGTCCTTTAAATCCTCCTTTGCCGGCTCCTTCTGTGCCATCCACGTTATACCCTATCTCGGCTTCGATGGTTCAACTTCAGCGAGTGGGCCACAGTTTGCATAATTTCTGTGCTTTATTCCTGTGGGACTTACGTTCCTGTAAGAGAATCAAGTCCGCACTCTCGTCTAATTCCTGTATATAGTTTCTAAGTAGATCTACTTTGTGGGCGTCGTTGAGCCCACGACCATTGTAGTCTAGTATTCTTAAATTCATATTCAGGTTGAGGGCGTGCCCGATACCTGTGGGCTTCCAGAAATCTGGTGTTGCTTCTTTGAAGATCTTGGTGATTGTATGCAATTGGAAGGGGTAAGGGCGCGGCCTCTTGTTGGGCTCTGCTCCTGTTCCTGCTGCGGGAGCTAGAGGAGGTGGATGAGCCCATATTTAAACTTCTACGTGTTTGCCATTCAGAGTAGGTGTCGCCTTTGAGTGATGGCGATTCTCTGTTCTCCTCAGGTGTAATTAGATTGACATTCAAATCCAAGGGCTGCCTTGAAACATGTTCCGAGGACGCCAAGTTTTGGGTGGTGACTGAGTCCCATCCCGTATCGACCGCCGTGAGTTGATGTTGTTAGAGGTGTACTTTGTTGACTTCTTCGTTGTGGGTGGAGAAGAAGCAATCGAAATGCCCTCGTGATCATGGGTCCTTGCTGGGGTCGATCAAGGCATTTTTGGTGACTCACTTAAAATGAAGGGCCCATTCTGTTGTTGTTGCTGGTCGTGTGTTGTCTCTGTTGGGAGAGATGGGACGTGATCCCAGGGAGTTTGGTGTACAAAAATTGGTGGAGATGATTCGTCTTGCTAGATTGAGGCGCCCTGTACTAATATCTGAGACTCTGTGGGCTGGGTATAGTTAATATTACTGTATAGATCAGTTTGAATATGGGAAAGCAGATTACTTGTGGTCGTAGTTGTAATCAGACATTGTGGTTGAGAGTGTTGTGGTGAAGGTACTTCTGATGTCACGTGGGCGGGGTGTGCCGCTGTGCCATCCTGTGCCTTCTCTCGCTCCTCCATTTCTGGTGTGTAAACTGTATCCAGCTGGAGTTGGGGCGGGCCTCGTTGATGTCATTGTCCTCTATTAACTGCGATAAACCCCTCAGCATCTATGTTGCCTGTGGAGTCTTTGTTGCCTTGCGCCACCTCGTTTACATTTTGCCTCTGAATAATTTTGTCTTTGTTGCCTAGGCTGGAATAATCTCTGTTTTGTAGGTCGGCACGTTTATTTTGGTTTTGTTGTTGCATGTTGTTTCTAGCGTTTATAATTCTTTTATGCGGGCAGTCTTTGATCCTATGGTCGACCTCCAAATAGAGTTGGCAGCAAATTGGAAGATGTTCGTAGTCCACATTGCAAGTGTAATTTTACCTGATTGTCTATCCACTATTTCCATTTTTGTTTCCCAGCTGTGATTGGTATCAATCGCCACACAAAAATGGGGTTCAGAGAACATGGAAATTTTTATGTCCGCCCCTTTGACTTTACCCATAGTTTCTGCAATTTCTAGTGCAACAGCGTTGAATTGCTAAAGTAAATTCCTGAATGAGACCTAAGTCGGAATCATCATACCTTTGTTGTTCCTAAGATCGAATTGAGGAGTCTAACTTGGAAAATGTTGGAAAATGTAGTAGAGACCAGAATCTCCATACTGTGTGAATAGAAGGATTTGTTTGGTCAGCTTTGGATTTGATGTGCACAAAAAAAAACCCCTTGTCAATGTTGTTGGATATGATGAGTTCATTGATTAATTTGGAGTTGAGGCACTCCAATTGGTCTTGGAGTCTATTTGGTTGGGTCAATTTTCAATAAAACATGCCATGATGACATGTTGTTACAAACATACATATTGACTTAGATAAGAAGTATTAAGTAGAAGGTAAATGTATATAGATTTGATATTATCTTATGGCAAAGCTTTTTAGAAGCTTTGTAAATATGTATTTGACTTTATACGTATTTATAGTTGATTGATAGGTTTGAAACTTGGCCAACAAGTTAGCCATGTATTGCATGTGTGGATAGCTTGTGATACAATTTTACAATATGGCATGCATATAAGAAACTTGCTTTGTAATTTAAGACATATGCCTTATAAATTAGATATGTGTTGGAGGTCTTATAAAACGTCACTATATAGCTCCTAGTTAGATAGTATATATAGAGACAAGAGTGAAGCTTTTTTCACTCTTGATAATACCTTTTCAGTCCATAATTTCATTTCAAAACTTTCTAGTCTTCTTGTCTTTGGTAATAGCTATTCTAATTTAATATTATATCATTTTGAATGATTTTTTGATCTATTTGAGTGATATAAAAATTTATTGAACTTTTACTTCTTTAAAATTCATGTTCTTGACAATTTGACAAAAGTACTAACTTGTTATTCTTGTTTTGTGTTAGAAATTAGTGGATTATTTCACTTCTATTGTTGTATTTTGAAGATTGCAGACTATCCATCTTAAAACTAACTTTTAGTTTTTTAAACATTGATTGTTTTCCTTAAAGAGAGTAGACTACTTCTCTTTGAAGAATTTTTCATTTGATATTAGAGATTGTGGATTATCTTCTTCTAATTTGACTTGTGAATTTATTTGAGTTGACTATTAAAAGAAAAATTATAAATGCTATTCATAATAGAAGTAAAAATAGATTTGTAACTATTGCATATCTTTATGAGTTTATCAACTTTCTTAAGATCAAAATTTCATGTATTTTTTGATGTAAACCATAGAAGTACTATTTCTACACATATGGAAGAAATCAACAATGAAATTCATGCCCTATACAAAAAATTTGTACAATTAAAAGAGGCAAGTAGAACAAGTCCATAACTGAATGTAAGAAGTTTTGTTTCTACAAGTATAAGAGAGGCAAAGATAAGTATATTAGAAAATTTTGATAAAATAAGATCAAAGTTTTGAGGATTTCTACAACAATTTTTTTTTTTTTTTTTTTTTTTTTTTTTTAAGGTTGTATTTTTTCAATATTCTAACAAATTTACTCAAGTTGGATTGACTAATACACTTCTATCTAGGAGTACATCCTTTTGCTTTGTACCTTTGATGAAAAAAGATTCATAATTCTTTTATGATTTGAATTCATTCTTAAAAGTTTTTATGGCCACATTTAGAGAAAGTGATTAAAAAAGAATAGCAGAGACCAAAATCCTATTTATACAATAAGGATCACATTCAACTACCATATATGTTACAAAATTCTAAACCTTATTTGCAATATTGTTGTATGTCATGATTTATGATATAAGAATATATTAGGTATCTATTTATAGAAAATTTTGCTTTAATTTATTAGCTAAGCTCTAATAAATGATATATTTTTATTATAGAAGACAAATAAATGTAATAATATCAAAAGATATTCTATTAATAAAAACTTTTATATTTAATAAGATTTATACATAACGCTGTTGTATTATGTGAAGTCTTACTTGAGAATGCACCGAGCACTTAGTTGTAGAAGGTAGAATGGAAATTACAATGACAAAATCCTAACTCTAATAGAATACTAAATAAAATCTAATTAAACCTTAAAAATACTAAATAAGCTTTAATCAAAATAA